ATACTGTTCAATTATATTTGATGTTGTGTTCAACTTTGATGTTATGTGTAAGTTAGCTGTGACGTTGACACAATAGTAATCAAAGTTATTGGACTATAATTTGGTTCATCAAGACTGTATATTTTCAATACTTCATTTACAGATAAAGTCATATCATACGGTCTTTCGAGCCGGATTTATCCAGCGATACCTCAGTTCCGGTAGAGTCATATCATATGGTCCTTCGTTGCCTATGAAGAACAGAATTATGTCTGAATTGAGAACAAGTTAACGACTTGTTGAATCCCATGAGAAGACAAACAGACCAGAAATGATGAATGTGCAAGTTTCTCCTAAATACGGATGACAACTATACCTGAAAATCAGTGAATATACATAGCAGGAATAAATATTCTGTACATGATGAATTTCATGGAAGCAAGACAGTCAGCACAAAAAGAATTGTGTCATCAAGATGTCGAAAAGAATTTGAAATCCAGATCAAAAAGAAACAGTTAGAAATCAAAAATCAGAAAGAGGTTTTGAAAAAACAACAAGAAATCACAGTGTTGGAACTTGCAAAGGAACTTGCCCGAATTGAAAAAATTGAGTCAGTATCTACTCACCAGAATAAAATTGCATCAAGCAGTTAGTCATTAGCTATGTTCCTGACGTACAAAAGTGGATAACAGAAAGCGCTCCGTGGGATGGTGACGACAAACCGGTGACGATATTTTCACACTAAAATATGAGCTAGAGCAGAAAAATGAAAACAAGATAGATGATTTTTATTCACAAAGTCGAAATTTCGACAAAGGTAACTGCATACGTCAATGTCAAGTGACAGACAATGACATTTGGAAAATTATATGGTTAAACAAGGTGTACCAAAAGATTTGCCAATTTCAACAATACAAACATTCTACATCTATACGTAGAAACTCCAGTGGAGAAAATCAATGTCGACTTCAAATATGTCCCAAGGTTAATGCAAGAAAATTAACTCATCTACACTAATATTGCCACAAAATTTTGACAGAGTAATTGATTTTCCACAAAACCGTTTTGGTCGTTCAGAATATATCATCTCACTTTTATTAGACAGGGTTGAAAAAGTTTCCAACGTTAAGAATAAAAAACTAGACATGTTAGTGAAGTTCTCAGATGAAGTAAAAGTCTTGTTGCAACTCAATGGTTGCAACATTAGATGAACATTAAATGAAGACCATTTGCGCAACCCACGAATTGCCAACTTCCCAAAAACCTATATATCAAATGAAAAATTCAAATGCGAATTGCTTGAATGATGAGTGCCATTTTCGCATGTCACACAGAGTATTAGCTCCGTTGTGAAAAAATATTGTACGATTCTCCATCATATTACACAATGACTTCTGGAATGAGTAGGTAAACAAAGAGAGAATTGTGGCGTATTCCTTAGGGAGGGGACGTCGTTACGTTAGTGAGTGGGAAAGAGACGTGTGTGACGTAATCGATGCATAAAAGGATAGAATGTGTATCGGAGCGATTCAGTTGAAAGATAACAACGCGGTTAAATCATAAAAATAATGGAAGCGCAAAAGTGATGATGGAAAAATCGGAATGTGGCGGCGGGGCATTCAGTGCAGCGTTAAAGAAAAAACCATGGCTGCTAACCTGAAAGAAAAAACATGGCTGCCAATGTAAAATANCATACAATGATATCAATTGAACGTTATCAGAAAGAGTTACTTTTTAATATTATCACGAATTGATATGTATTATTTATACTAAACTGCGGCTTGAAATTAGTATAGGTTTGAATTCATTTTAGACACGCCTGAAAAAGCTATTGTTTAGAGAAACACCGTGTTGCGTTTTTCTGAAAATTACTATTTCTCAGATATTCATCGAGTATTTTTTGACATAAAAAACAGGACTATGTGTTTATGAAAAACTGAACACTTTGACTTCTGGGTCGAATTGATTTCGTATAATTTTTACAGATTCACAACGAGTACAACGAAAACAATATAGCCATATCGCCTTATGGGGCCTTGAGTGTGCTGATAGCTCTTGGAGAAGGCCTCCAAGGAGAAGCTGTCAGAGAAATTCAAAACGCAGCTCACATTCCCAATGATATTTCCCTAATTCGAGTTGGACTGAGAGATATTCATAGACATTTGAAGGTAAGATATGCAAAATTCATATACGTAACGCAGCCTTCTTTGATTTTCACTTCAAAGTTTCCTTCATCGATTTATTTTTTCTTATGGAATATATTCATGATTCACTGAATGATTTGTATAAATTTCATAAGATGGATTGGACTCTAAATAAATTTAAGGCCAAAGCAAGTCGATAATTTTATTAGTGCTCTACCAAAATATCAAAATATAGCCACGGGCACTTTGAATTGATTTTAATTTCAACAGTATAATTTGTAAAGGTCACTGATGTCATTCGAAAGAAATTTCAATTTTAATTGGAAGATGATCTGCTTTAATGTTTTGTAAGCCATTCACAGATTAGCAAATCACAGTTTCAGAATATTTCAAGATGTCTGGCTTTTCGTTAATGACACTTGAAATATCTTCAGTAATTTTGTAATTTAACTAAATATAAACTGACAGATTTATGGAGATTTCTGAGTTATCGTCAGAGCTTTCATTTTTCTCTTTGATATTACGAAAAAACTCTCACAAATGAATAGTATATTTTTGTTTAAGTAACTTTTCAATTCATCGAAAGACATAATTGAAAAAAAAATAACTCAAAAAAATCAATAAACCAGTAAAGCCGAACGAAATTCGTCCATTATCTGACAGAAGTATAAACAGAATACACTTTTTTGAAGTGAAATGTTATACTTCTCATCAGTAGTTTCAAGTTTCATTCTCTATTTCCTTCATATTAACTATAATAAATCATCAATTTATCATTAATTTATCATTATTATATTAATTCATTTCAGAGTTATTTCATTCCGAAAGAAGGATTCTTGGCTGGGTTGACCTTAAATCACGAAAATGTAACTTTACGACCTATATATCAAGAAATATTGAAATTCTATGGCTTTGACGCCCCATCCTTCAATAATGCCCTGTATCCCGAACCACAAACAACAGAAAAACCTTCTTCCACTGTGAATTCTCAGACAACTCAACCTTTTCTTACAACCCCACCAATATTAAGTACCACAGCAACTCCTCCATCCAGTGAAGATAAAATACCTGCGACAACGACTGAAGTCACCACCACAATATCAGGAGGTGCTAGAGAACTCGATCCGGTAACATCAACACCACCCACCACTTCAGAAACCGTACCTACGACGCAGTCTTACACGAGTAAAACAGAGCAAATATTCACATTACAACCAGAATTTATGATAGCAACAACTACTGAAGAACCACAAAACGCCACTCTAGTGCCAGTAGTAACAACAACAACAAAAGCAGGAATCGAAACTCCGTCTACAACTTCAATAACAACACAACAACCAACCACAACTTCAAAACTAGCAATAGCGACCGCGCAGACATCTACATTAGAGCCAGCAATAACTACACCAGAGCCTGTCATTTCGACAGAATTACCTACCATCACAACCTTTCAGCCAGTAAGTGACAAACTAGAAGCAGTAACCACTACTATGGAAACATTAATCACAACACTTCAACCAGTAGCAACCACGATCCAGCCAGCAACCGTCACATCTGAGCTAGTAATTACTACTCCTGAATTAGTGATCACGACACCAAAATCAGTAACAACTACAGTAGAACCAGTAATCTCCACACTTGAACCAGTAATTACAACAATAGAGCCAGTTATTACGACACTCGAACCAGTAATTACGACAACTGAAGCAGTAATCACGACAGTAGAACCAGTAACCACGACAAATGAAGAAGTAATCACGACACTAGAACCTGTAACCACGGCAACTGAAGCAGTAATCACGACACTAAAACCAGAAACCACGTCAAGTGAAGCAGTAATCACGACACTAGAACCAGTAACCACGACAACTGAAGCAGTAATCACGACACTAAAACCAGTAACCACGACAAGTGGAGCAGTAATCACGACACTAGAACCAGTAACCACGACAACTGAAACAGTAATCACGACACTAGAACCAGTAACCACGACAAGTGGAGCAGTAATCACGACACTAGAGCCAGTAACCACGAAAACTGAAGAGGTGATCACGACATTAGAACCTTTTACCCCGACAATCGAAGCAGTAATTACAACACTAGAACCAGTAGTCACAACACTGGAACCAGAAATGACTATAAAACCAGAAATCATAGGTGAGTCAGTAATCACCACATTCGAGCCAGTAATCACAGCAGCAGCACGCGATGGTACCACTCTGGAACCAGAAAGTGAGACGCATTTTGACAATACTACAACCGACCCAATGACTATAACGTCTCAACAGGAGGTAGTGATTACTACTTTAGTAACGGGGACAACCGAAACAGAACAGTTGATTACCAAGAGTGTCTCTGAACCAGAAACTAATGTTGTATTGGACGTTGATTCAGGTGAGTATCTAGTGATGAAAATGACTTGTTTCATTTGATGAAGCCATGTTTCGAATACGCAATGGTTGATTTTCGATAATACGAGTATTTTTAAGACGTCAATATGTTCGGACATTAGGAATCGCATGTTAAAAGGTAAGACTCCGTGTATTCTAAGATCGCACAAGAGTTTAAAGATTTTGTAACATATATTTTGATGTATTTAAGACCTGAGAACAAAACCGTAACAATATGAGTTATTAGGAAAGAAAGGAACGTATTTTGGGATTGTTTATAAGTAATCTGCTTTCAAATATTGACATAAGAGGAGTTGCTCATAAAGTATTTGAGAGTTACTTATGTAAAAGTAAACAATGCGTCAATATCAATGAAGTTATGAGCAGTTATCAAATGATCACATATGGAGTGCATCAAGGTACTGTTTTGGGGCCAACTCACTTCAATCTTTATATCAATGATCTTTTCGAACAAGATACGTGTGGGGAAGTTGTGAGTTTCGCGGACGACAATGCCGTTTTCTACGAAGGAACTGACTGGACCACTCTCCAAAGTAACATCGAGGTTGAGTTTCAAAATATAATAAATTTCTTCAACGATAGAATACTGACAATCAATTATAAAAATACTCACTTTTTGCCGTTTACATCCTACTCTACAAATTTACCACCATATAAAGAACGGGAAATACAATATGACGACGGAACCCTTCTGAAAATAGAGTCCGTCGATAAGCTTAAATACCTAGGCATATATATAGATTCTCATTTGAATTGGGAATATCAAATTAATTATGTAATTGAAAAGTTGCGATTCATGGTCTATAAATTCAAAAACATATCTAATATCATTGATATAAAATATCTAAAAAATACTGTACCATGCTTTGGTCGAAAGTCATCTTTCCTATGGAATCATTGCATGGGGAGGAGTCTCAAAAACACTTATCAATAATCTACAAAAAATTCAAAAATGCATTCTTGAAATGATATATAAAAAACCGCGAGAATATCCGTCATGTAGCATATATAGAGAAAAGACGATAATAAATGTAAGTCAGGTATTTGTTTTTGCGATCCTCTTGAGGCAGTATAGACATAAGTCATCGTTGGTACCTCTTCAGCACCATTACAACACAAGGCATAAAACTAACGCTGTGATACCCAGAACTAAAAAAACGAAAGGGCAGAAATGTTATACTTTTTTGGGACCAAAACTTTTTAATGAGCTACCGCTCGAACTCAAAACGATCAAATGCTGATTCAATTGTATTTTTCTATTAATCATTGGGAAAACATGAAGTTATTATAAGTATTTGTGATTGATATTGATGATTTCAACATTTTTTGGCATCCATTCAGGATCATTTGAATCTTTAATTTAACCAAAAAAAATATCTCTATAATAAATATACTTTTTCACTCTAAAACTAAATAAGTTGAGGTTAATTGTATTCGATTTGGCACATTAATTGATAACAAGATGTATCAAGATTAGTTATATTGAAATGGAGATACCAAGCTTCATTTCCAGTAAAAATGTTTATTGTCAATTCTAAAGCAATATAAAAAAGTGTAAAATATGTTGCAGTATCTAACTCAGAACCTACTGTGACTGAAGACGTGAATACTGTCACATCTAACGACCCTGAAGAAAACCCAACAAGTACTTACTCATCCACATCAGTGGTTTCAAATGAACCAACAGAGATCCCCCAAAAAAATATCAGTGACAATGAGATTTTGCCAGACGACAGCGAAGGTCCAGGATTTGCTGGAGCATCCCAAAGAAGAGCAAGATCCCAGTTCAACGTGATAGAGCTAAATAGATGGCGTGAGAAACCCACTACTAATCGAAGAAGGAAAGCCAGATCAATGGCTGACTACGTCATTGCCAGATACTACGACAACCACGCCTCACATCCCCATTTCCACAGGCCCTTCATGGGTGAGGAGCAGCCCAGCTTTCTGGTCCAAGGAAAGTACAAGCAGTACGGAATCAACTTCATGAAGTACGACACGGTATTGCCTTTTGTTTACATTATTCATTTGGATGCCATAGCCTTGGCTTTCCCCCTGGACAGTTCAAAGTACTACTTGTTGCTTCTTCTACCTAGAGATGAGCAGGGGGTCGACAAACTTATCTGTGATTTACAAAGGAACGGAAATTTGAGGTCCGTAGTGGATAATTTGAGATATAGACGTGTAGTTGCCACGATTCCCAGCTTCATGTTGAAGGGCTATGTGAATCTTACTCCTAGTTTTCAAGAGGTTAGTACACAGTGAATCATTTATATAAAAAAAAATTGTGAAAAATTTGAATAAATAAATATACTAGTTTTTTTGCAGATATAAGGTTGTTTTAAAAGTTTTGTCCATTTTATGAGTCTACTTTAAACTGTGATATATTAGGGAAAACTTATTCAATTTAATCTAAATGAGCATATTTGAATCAGTGTACTTTTGCCAACGTAACACAAGTCGATTAATCCCGGCGGCTGCTGACGCAATATTGGGTATATTTCGTCGATTTCCTCACAATAGGACTCTACTGTAATGGTTTGGCCCAGTTACAGAAAGTAGTGATTCACACCAGCCTCTGACCACCATATATACAGTAGGTTAGATAAGGTTAGGTCCAAAGTGAGTAGGTCTATTCGACCCTCCACCGCAACCTGCAAGGGTTTATTGTGGCTCACACCTATTCACACTCGACCAAATAAATCCAGCTTCTTAACGAAGCCAATTTGTTTGTATGGTGAGTGGTTTTACAGGTCAGATGATACGAGTACGGCTCTGTCAAACTCTAAAAACCTGATTCGGTCCCCAGCGGCGCAGGTACAAATATGTGCTCTACTGTTTCATCATTTTCCAAACAGAGGCGACACACACTGTCTTCCGACAGTTCGAGTCTTTGCATATGATGATTCAAATGACAGTGATCTGTAAGAAGGCCTGTTAGACATCGTAGTTCATCCCTACTGTAGTCCAACAACTGTTTGGTATCAAGCTTCGGAGAGTTAATGAACGCCTTGGAGTGAGCCAATCCTGTAAGATTCTGCCACAATTCCATAAATCTTCTTGCCATCCAGATGATCAATCTTTGTTTGGCAAAACCTAAAGCGTTGCCAATGACAGGTTCTGGTCCGATGAAGCTGCTTGTGGCACCTTCCTTTGCAAGGGAGCAGCATCATTGCCTTCCAGACCAGTATGGCCAGTAATCCAGACCAGAGAAAATATGTTGAGTCTTCCTATCGAGGAGAGTCGTTTTTGGCAATTTGCTACCAATTTAGACGTTGCTCGGTAGGAGCCAAGAGCGAGCTTCCAACGCCGCTTGACTGTCCTAAATATTTTATTGACTTGTATATGAGGTTGGATTCTTCGAAACAATGATAACATTTTTATCAGAACATTATTCTTTTGAAAATTTGTTGTTTGGATTAGACCCAGTAAATACATCTCGATATTATGATATCATCGATATAGATACATATCAAAGAAATAATAAAATCGTCTTTGTCATCAAACTTCCTTTGGTAGTTCCACATATATTTACCCTTTACCATCTGTACTCGATTCATACCTTGAATGGTACCACCATTATATCACCTTCACCCTATCAGACAACGGATGAGGTGTATTTTTAATATTCCACAACGCCCTGCCTGGACCTGCACGATGTCCATTACTGCACTTGGAACAACCTCCTGCCAGGATCCACCACGAGGGATTGTATCTTCCGAATCCTGAGCATCGACAGTAACCCACTTAACTGCGAGCTGATACCAATCCAACAGCAATCAAATATTATCGAACAAGTAGTTGAAGCCCACTATATTGGCATCTTCAAAAATGCCACCCGTATTCAGACTATTTGTGAAACAACAGACATAACCACTCTCAAGGGAGCACATTTGATTACCCTACTTCTTGGATGTCAGTTCAAAACCCCCATGGACGAATATGTCAACCAAGCAACAGATATAGGAGAACAACCCCTACTTCTACTAGATATAATGCTTCCTCAAATCCCAACAACCCAGGTGGTACCAGTTCTAAAACTCCAAGACGTTCCTCTAGACAAGTTAAACGAAATCCACAGAAATCCACAGGTTACATTTGGACAGTTCTAGCATATGCTATAATCATAGTATGTTTTTTGATATTTGTTATATACAAATACAAGTACCTGTTATTCCGACACCAACCACCTGAAGGACCTCAAGAGGGAAATACAGATCCACCCTTAGCAAGGCAGCGGAAAACATGTATCTCTTCGTGAAACCCTGTTTTCCATCATCGGAGGGAGGAATTACGTTGTCACTGACCCCGGATTCTGCTGACACTCAGCTACAATTCCTAGGAAAGCGACTTATCAGCATAGCCGGCCAGAGAGCATCGCCTCGGGGACGACCTCATTGCAATTAGCCTGATTTTATACATGTACTGTTAAACATCGTTTTAATAATTGTTATGTATTGAAAAAAAATATTTTTTCAAAAGACTTTTCGGTTTCTGGAAAACATAAGTCGTAGAACAGTGCGTTCATTAACACATTGCCAAATGCATGGTTGATTTTTTGGGCGGTTTTGGCAGCGCTTTGGTTCAATTTGAATTCGTAGAGAAAAATTGGTCAGAAATCGCTCAACAACAGCATACAGTAATAAGCTGAAAATAGGCAAGAAATTAAAATTTGGAAAAAAGATGAACAGCAATATGTAGAGTACAAAATTCTCTATTGATCACTTTACGCCACGTCATAGTAGAATAAATATGAAACATTTAACAAACGAGAACCATCAACACTAGGACCTTTGGGAGCAATTAGCCCTCCAGCTAGCGGAGCTTGATTTAATTTTTTTGCCTAACGTTGAATGTATGAGTAGAGCCTATTGAAGGAAATCGACTCTTATTTTGGGAAACATAGACACAAATTTCCATCATGTAAAATCAGGGTAAAATCAGTATTTCTAATTTCTTGGAAAACAGTTCACAGAATTCTATGTAACCTATACCAGTGATACTTGTAATGATGATTTTTGAGCCAAAAAAATTCACCTGCGTTAGTTGATCAATACCAGAAACTGACACCATAGCGCAACCTCGACAATACTTCAGCATAGTATATAATTTTTAGTAGATCTAAACTGAGAATATAACTGAAATTTCATAGCTTAAATGCTAAATAATGCAATTTGGGTACAAGTACATAGCAATGTGCTTTGAAATTCAAAATTCAAACACCTGATACTTTTCGACAATGGAAGCGATTGATTATCCAATATATAATGGGTCATATTTTTTTGCTAATTACAAAATTGAATAATTACTTTTTTATCTGAATTAAAAACAAGCGAGTTACTGGAAAACAGTTCAAAGATGTCATTGTTTTCTCGTATTTCCGTTGTATACTCGTTTGGTCGGAGCCTGTTATAATCGTGCCAAAGTCATCAGCAAATTTAACGTGCTTTCTGTCAGGAATAGATTCGTCAACTTTGTCTATATATATACTCGAAATAACACAGGTCCCAAGACTGAACCTTGTGGTACTCCGAGTAATATAGGTATCCGTTAAAAGTTATGTATGTGACACATGGATATATGTTTCATCCATATAATTTATTGTTCGACCTTCTTCACGGTATTTCTTCATGTGTCTGAGAAAATTTCTTAGCAACTGCTGAATCGCCGGTTTTTTCATGAGCAATTTTCAATTTTCTTTTCGTTTTCCTCCATCTAAACCCTATTTCTATTTTGTCTATTTTATGAGTCTACTTGAAACTGTGATATATTAGGGAAAACTTATTCAATTTAATCGAAATGAGCATATTTGAATCAGTGTACTTTTGCCAACGTAACACAAGTCGATTAATCCCAGCGGCTGCTGACGCAATATTAGGTACATTTCGTCGATTTCCTCACAATAGGACTCTACTGTAATGGTTTGGCCCGGTTACAGAAAGTAGTGATTCACACCAGCCACTGACCACCATATATACAGTAGGTTAGATAAGGTTAGGTCCAAAGTGAGTAGGTTTATTGTGGCTCACACCTATTCACACTCGACCAAATAAATCCAGCTTCTTAACGAAGCCAATTTGTTTGTATGGTGGCTGGTTTTACAGGTCAGATGATACGAGTACGGCTCTGCCAAACTCTAAAAACCTGATTCGGTCCCCAGCGGCGCAGGTATAAATATGTGCTCTACTGTTTCATCATTTTCCAAACAGAGGCGACACACACTGTCTTCCAACATGTTCGAGTCTTTGCATATGATGAATCAAATGACAGTGACCTGTAAGATGGCCTGTTAGACATCGTAGTTCATCCCTACTGTAGTATGGCCAGTAATCCAGACCAGAGAAAATATGTTGAGTCTTCCTATTGAGGAGAGTCGTTTTTGGCAATTTGCTACCAATTTAAACGTTGCTCGGTAGGAGCCAAGAGCTTCCAACGCCGCTTGACTGTCCTAAATATTTTTATTGACTTGTATATGAGGTTGGATTCTTCCAATCTCTCCGCACACAATTCAATAGCGTAAATTTCCGCTTGAAATACAGTCGCAACGGTTCCTAGGCAGGTTGATATCTCTGTCCTGGGTCTGCAACTGAAAACACCTGGACCAGAACCGGAAAGTACTTTTGATTCATCTGTGAACCAACAACTATCTGCTCTTAATATTTCCTTCTCCCGGAAATATATACAGAAGCCATGACCTTCTTTAGTGGGTTTTCGCCTTTGGATCTACTTTTCACCATACGTGACGATCCGATCAAAAGAGTATCGTTTTGGTGGCGCAAAAGCAAAGAAGGACATACCTCGAAACGTGACAATTTCTGTTGGTCATTGAAATCGTAGGATACCCACCTTTCGAGCTTTATACCACTTCCAATACGTTTTGAACCATCAAAAATTACATGGCAGCTGACGCCCACTGCCTCTGTCATTCCACGCACCGTTTGTGATGAGTCAGTCTCCACCAGCGTCCCCAGCGTCCTGGATTACTGTAGGTCGATCATTTTGAGGTTCATCTTCGAAGCTAAACTCTCTGAAACGAAATTTCTCAAACCAACATAAATTACATTGTCACTGACTGCGGATTCTGCTGACACTCAGCTACAATTCCTAGGAAAGCGACTTATCAGCATAGCCGGCCAGAGAGCATCGCCTCGGGGACGACCTCATGCAGTTAGTCTGATTTTATACATGTACTTTAACTATCGTTTTAATAATTTTTATGTATTGAATGAAAATTCATTTTTAAAAAGACTTTTCGGTTTCTGGAAAACATAAGTCGTAGAACAGTGCGTTCATTAACACATTGCCAAATGCATGGTTGATTTTTTGTGCGGTTTTGGCAGCGCTTTGGTTCAATTTGAATTCGTAGAGAAAAATTGATCAAAAATCGCTCAACAACAGCATACAGTAATAAGCTGAAAATAGGCAAGAAATTAAAATTTGGAAAAAAGATGAACAGCAATATGTAGAGTACAAAATTCTCTATTGATCACTTTACGCCACGTCATAGTAGAATAAATTATTATTGAGATATGGAGCTACAAAAACACAAGACATTAAAACGGACAGAACTTTCGAAACAATCTAATACCTCTGAATATATGCATTATATATACTATTTCTATGGCCTTTTACTCTGATTCATTAACAGTAATTCATTGAATATTAAATTATATCATAAGATTCACACATTTTTTTTGGGAAAACAGTATTGTATAACTCTGGTAAAGGGTATTCTCTTACACGAGAACTTCTATAGTTTCATATAATTTTCTGGAATCAAAAATTCTTCAAAATAGTATATTTCGTTGGAAAAAGTAATTTATTTCTGACCGGGATATTATAAGCTTATATCGTCATAGTTACGCTATCAATAAAGAGGGTCATAACTCCCTTGGGACATTATAGATTTTATAATTCCCTCTACCTTTCACAAGTAAAAATAAATAGAAATGAAAACTGAACCATATTTTATTTATTCACGTCATTACAAATAATAAATGTACAATTTTGAAATGTTCCCTGAAAATTACTTCCGCCACTGGAAACAATTTCTTCTTTTGTATGGCTGGAGCTTCTGTTNATTATATGTTACAAATATATAAATATAGATTAAGAATATGTAAATTAAAAATGAATTAAATTTAATACTAATATCGTAGTTCGTGGAAGTAAATGGCATCAATAATAATATAATATGTTATGCAAACAAAACGGCACCCACAAAATCAATGGACAGTCTGTGGTGAAATGGAAGTAAATTGTGAAAGAAACTCCCCAAAGTAAGATTAATAAGAAAAATTGACATTCACAAAATCAATGGACAGTCTGTGGTGAAATGGAAGTAAATTGTGAAAGAAACTCCCCAAAGTAAGGTTAATAAGAAAAATTGACATTCACAAAAAAATTGAATATGATAGATGAATTATGCCAAAATAAAATCTAAATTAGAGCACAGCACCCGAGAAAATGAATTAAAACATTTTGCAAAAACACTTCCATTATGGAATAAGGGGAACAGCCTTAGGATGTTCCAGATCTTATATTACTGGTAGAAGTCAAAAAATGATATTGGGCATTGAGGGGTGTGTCCTAGGCCCAATTTTATTCTTGCTATATACTAACGATATGGCAAAACTTGATATATCTGTACCTTGTTTGCGGATGACACTACGATACTTTGGAGTAATAAAGATTCTGGTACTTTGACTCAGTCTATCCGCCCAGATTTAGAAAAAATATAAAACTGGTGTGAATCGAATATGATATCGCTAAATGTTTCTAAAACAAATCTGATAACATTCAAGTGGGACTTAGAACGAGTATGATACTAGGTGAACACATGATTGAAAGTAAGCCTGTAACTAAATTTCTTGGTATATTCATTGACAGTAATTTTAAATTTGATACTAATAATAAAAATAATAACACATTTATTGCCCAACAGTAACAACCATTTACAGAGCAATTCAAGATGACAATACAGGCTGATTCACGGTGGATGGCACATTAGACGTTTCTGGTGAACCAGACAACGGATCACTTTGAAAATTTAATGGAGGGCATATNGACGGACGTATATAATTTTAAATCATCGGCGAACATAAGCCTCTTGCATTCGAGAGATGTACACAGGTCATTTATGTACAGCAAAAACAACAGTGGGCCTAAATTAGATCCCTGTGTTACACCGCTGGTTGCCGTATACACTTCCGATTTGTAACCATTGTATTGAACAAACTGTTCACGGTTGACTAAATATGATTCCAAAAGTGCTATATACATTTTGGGAAAACCTACGTTCGAGAGATTGTGTAATAGAAGTGTGTGATTTATTCTGTCGAAAGCTTTCGAGAAATCTGTATACACCACATCCACCTGACCCCTATTATCTATTGTTTCGCACAGAAATTGACTGAATATCGATAGATTACTAATTGTCGAACGAGAATTTATGAATCAATGTTGATAAACAGAAATTATATGTCTCGTTGACATATAATTCTAGTCCATAAGTCTACAGTCACTTTTGTGACTTACATGTAACATACATAGGTACATACAAATAAATATTTTTCGTGTTTTATTTCAGCTAGGAATAAAGAGGGTATTCGAGCCTAGGCAGTCCGATTTTTCACCAATGACAGACCAGCAAGGAATTTATGTGAGAAACATAGAACAAGCCATTACCGTTAACATAAGGAACTATGTAGATCCTAATACTTTGGGGAGTAATAGTAAGTTTTTGATGAATGTGCATTTTCAGGAAAGAAAATGAAAAAGTTTTTAGTTTTCAAATAATACCAGATAAATTGTAAAGTCACACTATCACTTTAATGCCGTATAATTCAATATTTGATATTTTTTTTATAAACTGAACTCAACTAAAAATTGTAGGTGGAAATCAAATGAATTGTTTCGAATTTTTATCTGTGTCGTAAATATTAAAAGAAACTATTTCTTTGACAAACAGTATGATAATAAAGAAGGGTTTTGAAACAAATTAATTAGTTTCAAGGATTTCAATAAATGAATTGCGAAAGATTCGAAAAGTCTAGTGTCATATATCTGGGTTCAACAATTTTAAGAATGTGGCCATTCTTCAGAACGTTCTTCCTGATTTCTCAATGAAACATGTTTTGTTTTTGTTTTTAATGGAGATTTAGAAGGGGATCGTTAATGAATTTCAATAATAAGCTAAAATTATCATGATTATCCTTCCACGATATTGTATAACTAATCCTTCAGAAGGTAGAAGGAGACAATTGAACGATTAAACGGTATGTATGTATGTATATAGTAGGGAGGGTGAGTGTATACCCACAACACTTAGGCCATATGTGACCCATTGTACATCCTCCCGAGGAGTTGTCCTCCTAGGTCATAGTCCATCCTGTCCTTTCCAGGAAGGTCGACAGGTCACTAGGAAATATCTCCTTTATATCGGCAGGTGTAGGCCAAGACTCGCCACACACTCTCTTTGGCAACCTTGAGGTTGTCATACACTCTCTTTGGCAACCTTGAGGTTGTCAAAGAGAGTGTATGAGGTTGCCAACGACAGTAATGTCGCTGCACGCGGAGGCACGCGGAGACCGCGAAGGTTTTGGAAGGTGCAGCGACATCACAGTCGTTGCGCGGCTTCCTCAACCTTCCAGGGGTTCCCCTAGTGGAGGTGTTCAAGTGAGGGCGCTTTCCTGCAGAAGCAACCGGTTCCTTGCCTTTATTCAAGGCGGAGATCTTGGCGCCCGCCGCAGGAAGTGGCCTTGCTATTGGAGGTGGAGTGGAAGAGGAGGAGGGCGCACTTGTAGTTGCTGCCACTCCTACGCCTTTCGCTCTCTTTCTCCTTTTGGCCTCGGAGCCCCAAATGCGCCGCCTTTGTATTACACCACGAGGTAATCTGCTATGTCCAGCCTCATTCCGAGCGGTAGATTGGGGTTGACATTTCTGGTCATCTCCAGCCACCGCTATAGATTGAGTTGAGCACTTCTGTCCAGCCTCGGGATTGGTTTTTGTTGTGTCTGTTTTGTTTGTTTCATATATGTGTGTTCCCACGAGTGGCAAGGGAAGAGTTGGTCACCTCAATTTTTTGGAAAAGAACGGTTTTGGCTTTCTGCTTCTCAAACGCGATGCAAAAAATATGTGGTGAATCTTCCAAAGAAAGAAAGGAATCAATAAATTTTTTTCATCAAGATGAAAAAGTAGAAAGACAAAACCCTTTTTTCTTAAATAACAACCTAAAATCATCATGATTATCTTTCCAAGGTTTTGTATAACTAATTTTCAAAAGGTGGGGGAAAATCAAACAGTTAATTGCCATTCTCTGGAAATGCAATAAAATTCTAACCATAACATTTCTAACGGTGAGATTTGGCTTTTCTTCGAGAGAGCATTAATGCAGGTTATTTTAACACAACTGGCCTTCAAAATTGTCGCAAATTATAAGAGAGTCGGGTTGATACGAATTTCCTTCAGAAGGTGTAACACATAATTATTTCCTTTGCAAAAACGTGGGTTTGTCGTGTTCGAGCGGATTATCATGAAGAACCATTTAAACTTGAATGAGATGTTTTGTAATTCGTCAAGCTCGCTTAGAGTTGGTGTTTGTGCAAATCTGCAACAATTATCTAATTATTAGTAGAGAGAGGAAGCAAAAAATACCTCGTTTCAGACATTTCTGTAGGTAAGGTAATAGAGATTAATTGCTGATTTCGTAAGTATTGAAGAAGGACTTCAATTGAATTACGTGACGAAATTGAAATGTGTGATGTGACGGAAGTGAAACGGTAAAGTAATAAATCCATTCTGATAACGGTAACGGTAATGTGCTTATTCTACTCAATGTAAAGGTATAGGGTCTTACAACAGAGACTTCTGAACTTTGACAATTGATAACGGTCATCTTGTTGAAGCTACATCTGTCAAATTAGTAGTCATTTATTCAGTGTGTTTTGCCAAATCATCATACAACAACACTTGCAAATGATAAAATTGTTTTTTTGGATGGGTGTTCTAATCGGGTAACGAACCGCACGCTTTGCCAATTTCACGATCGCCACATTGGATATTCTTCACGAGCGATTCGGGGGCATGGTCATATCACGTGGAGGTGATGTGAACTGGCCACCGAGATCGTGCGATTTGACCCCGTTAGACTTTTTCTTGAGGGTGGCAGGTTTATGCGAATGAGCCATGAAATACAGCGCTCCTAAAAGCCAATAAAACCTATGCCATCCACCTTAGAAACCTTGGCGGACATTTTAATGATGTTATTTTCCACACAAAATGGCATCAATTGGTCTTTCAAACGAATATAAAATGTCGATATCTCACACACATTGTTTTATTTAAATTTAAAGATAGGAAGCGTTCAATGAAAGACTCTATAGGTATATAACTGGTGTAATCACTTGAACCAGTTTCCAATGTAAAATATTTTATCTCAAACTCTCTATCTGCGGCACTCTTGATGAAGAAATAAAGAGATCAAATTGTCTTCCGAATTTCCATCATAGAGGTGCTAAATGGTACAATTAAAGTGACTCAACAAAATACGCGCAACATATTTCGATTCTTGCACTATCTATCAACATTTGTGCAAAGTTGGGTCAATCTTATTTCTCACGTCGAGAATTTTTCACAAAACGAATCGACTGAAACATGTGTTGTAAAATCATATTTAGACAATGTCTTACCACCATCAAGCAATATATTTTCTTAACTTCTCAACAATACAATGTCATCCTTATTATTGAAGTAAAGGTAAAAGAGCCGTGTATGAATAGGTCATAAAACTTACAAAATTAGGGTGTTTTAGATATCTGTAATAATTTGAAGTGTTTGAACTGGGAAAAATACTTTCTTGTTTGATTCAACTTGTTTTTGTTTCAGGAAGACAAGAAGACGAGGAACCGATTGAATTCAACGCTGAACACCCTTTTCTTTATTTTGTAATGGATTCTGAACTACATATAGTTCTTATGGAAGGAAAGGTTGTAAATCCACTCAATTCTAGAATAAGATAATAAATATTCAAGAAAAAAATGTATTTCAATTTGAATAATGAACCTGAAATAATACTATGAGTTGTGGTGCCATCTACCCATCACTTGATAAAGATAAGAATTTGATGACTTATAGAGAACTATTACCTATTTTATAGAATTCTATCGAATAAGTTCAAATTTTTATCGCTCTTGCTTGATATGTCTATTTTACATCAAATTTCAAACAATGTAATAACAAATACAAATGTCATGTTGATAAGCCAAAATATGCCGAAGTACACCGAAATTATGTAGTAAAAATTAGTCAAGTGGAAAAAATTGGGACATTTTAAAATGGTATCACGAATTTATCAAGCCATTGCAAATCTTTTAGTGGACGAAAAATCTGTTGAAGAAATAGGCGATCCTTTGGATTTTGAATCTGGACCTTTTTTGGATTGTGGAATATCTTGGGTGTACGTAAGTGTCCTGTAAAGTATATCAAAGATAGTAATTAGAATAAAAAATCATCTTTGAATTTACTGGTTGAGTACTAAGAAGATATTCAACTTAAATTATTTAATTTTTTAGACATTCAAGAAGTTTATTATTCCAAGAGAACACAGGCCAAGTAGTCATGGGTATACTTGCCCTCCAAAATGTAAGCGGAGATCAATCTGTAAAACTTGAGAAATACATTTAAAATAAAATAGAATAAATCTTCATGAATAAATTTTCTTTTGATCTAGTCCCATTTGATGAAAATTACATAAGATTTTGTTAATCTACCATTAAAGAACACTGATAATGGACTTTGATGAAATAGACAAACTTGAACCTAAAGTCCTGGTAGAAATGTATTTTCAAATAAAATGGCATTTGCATCCAATATATTAGCAAAATCAATTGAGGTTTTGGGCTGACCATAGTTGTTGCAATTCTCTTCTGAAAATCACACATGACATAATTGAAACAGTAGATCCAGGTTACTCAACGGCTTTAGTACTTTTAGATTATGAGAAAGGATTTGATACAATCAGTCATTAAAATTTATATATTACACTCCATTGGCTTTCAAATTCGGCTATGAAATGATAAAAATATGTGATAAACGGATCACAATTTGTAGAAACAACCTTTACATTAATTATGGCATGACACAAGTCTAGATTCTCAGACCTTTACTATTTTGCATGTGTATGTAATATTGTTTCAGTTTTATTTTATATCTCACAAATTTATGCTAATAACACCCAAATGTTTCCACGCCAATGTAGTTCTATAGTGGGGGTGTTCAGTGATATTGAATGTTTTGTAGTAACAAAAAAAGTGCAAGCAAGCATAATTTCCCTCTAATTTGTGCTAATCAAAATTTAGAGACATTAGTGTACATACATTAACAAAGTTATTAGAAGGAAAAAATTTTCTTGTGATGCAATAGGTACGCATGTTGCAGACTCTTCAATGAAAATCTTGCAGTGGTGTTACTTGAATTATTTCATAACATTTCAATTAAAACAGTTTACCATAGTTTCGACTTGTCAATTTCCCTTCAATCCATTTTTCTCTGAATCTTTCTTATTTTGAGACTGGAACTAGAATTAAAAGCTCTTCAGAGGTGTACGCTATTCAACTAAAACAGCTCATCATACTTTCGACTCATCAATTTATCTTTTTTATTTTGAGACTGGAACTAAAATTAACAGCTCTTCTGAGGTGTATGAGACTGAAATTGTAGTTTCAGTTATTTATTAGCCAAAGATTGCCAGTTTCAAAGCTATTGATAAAAATTATCATTATTATATGTACTGACGACTGAATTTCAAATAAATTAAAACAAATATTAAATATGTTCCATCATTTAATTGACAGTCTGACTCAACAAACAGCAAATAAACAAGTCAATTCGTAAAAACCCAGGACGAATCTAGTCGAAAAGACCGAAGCCCATATCGTCATCCTCGCTCTCGGATTCCTCTTTCTTCTCTTCCTTCTTGGCGGCTACAGGTTCGGCAGCAGCTGCAGCGGCCACAGGAGCTGCAGTGACGGCGGCAAACTTGCTTGGGTCCTACAAGAAAAACAAGCGATTAGTACAGTTCAAAAAGTAGACACGTTCGAGGCACTGTTTTGAAATAGTCAGTAAAAGGTTTCCACATGCGCCTACCTGGTGCCAGTGGGTTCAGCTATTTCTAGCTCTGGCACCGTACGGAGCCATTGAGAGACGAAAAATATTCATCATGATAACATTTTATATCTAGAAGTATGTGGTTTGATCAAATACAACTGAACTTGACTACTTCAAATAACTATGGTATTTTTCATCAAAATCAGAAGAAAATGTAGAAGCAATACAAGTGCAGAGCTTTTGAGAATAATAATTTAATGTATAGAAAATAAATGAGTTCAATTATGTTCTGATACAACATTTGTATATGTTTCAAGTTTATTCTCAGTTCTTATACTCAATGAAACTTAAACATTCAAAAAAACACTTTAACGTGAGATTTCCCCTTGACAGTTTACGAAACTGCGATATGTATTTCGCTATTCAATAGCATCCTCAAGCTTCACAATACTGACTAGACAGTATTAGTATAATGTTTTGTTTGATTCACGGGTTTAGCCTTGGTCTTCTTTGGTTACAATCTCCAAATATTTCAACTGCGACAGTTATCTTCAGTGGTTTGGTAGAAGTACTCGTCTTGAGATGACTGCCGTAGTTGCAGTCGAAATGTTTGGAGATTGTAACAGTTCCAGTTGATACGTCAAGATGAGTACTTCGACCACGCCACTGTGACTGCCGCAGTTGCAGTTGAAACGTTTCGAGATTGTAACCAAAGATGATCACACCTAAACCCGAAAACCAAACAAACCATGAAAGCCTACATTCCTATAGTTGCATTAGTCAGTATTTTGATGATAAGCTATGGTATAACTAAACACAGTTTTGTAAATTGCCAAGTAGAAATCTCACAATTTGCCATGGTTCACAAGATCTTTGAAATTCAGTTTCAAAAGATTAGCAACGCCTATTTTGTCACACTGCCAATCAACAAAATTTCTACATCGTATAAAAAAAGTACAATTTGTTTACATGATTGTTGTTTTACTATCTTAAACCAATTAGAGAGCAGTTTTCACAGGAATATTAGGAGTCAGAAAGGAATCAATTTAAAATATTCATCAAACCATTCTAGTTTTTTCAGTTTCTATTTTTTTAACAGAAAAAAACTTGTACCCTTCAAACAAAAGTGCACCCGATTGCAATAGAAAAAAGGACTCACCTTGATGAACTCCTTGATGGTAGCAGCTTCCTTGAATTCAACGTCAGTAACAGCAGCAATAGCCAACAGATTTTTGAATCCGTTAGCAATGCTGTGAGGAGCAGAGGCTGTTGTAGGATACCCGATGCTCAAACAGACGGCAGCTAAGTTAGCAACACCAGCGAGGAACTTCTCTCTCAGATCCTCAGGTTTGATGTCCAGAATTGCTGGGGCAAAGATGGTGCCAGAATCGTAAACCTGTTCCACTTGAAGACCATAAGAGAATGGAGAAATGTTCAACATATTCAGAAGTGTGGCTTCTGAAGCACCAACTTTGTCGCCAGGTTTCAAAATGTGGACATCGTTGATGATTTCAATGGTACCTAGAATATAGATGAATTTCAGACTAGGAAGTCCTTTCTACAGAAGGAAAAAGTAAGGTGAAAACATAAATTGAAGAGACATGTCAATGCAAAAATCATTCAACAATTTTGCTAAAAAGGTGAAAAACAATACATCAGCCATACTGATTCCATAAAGAACCATAGCCAAAAAAATTTGAAAGTAAAAAATACTAACAGATACCAACCAGAAATTTTGACAACGGTTATCTGAAAACCATAAATTAATTGTCACTTTCGGAATGGGGAATGTTCCTCAATTTGCGTTATTACAGCAAATGCAAATTTGAACAAAATACAGATAAGTTTAATTCATGAGTTTTTCAAATTCACTCCGAAAAGTATTTAAATTGATGTTTCAAATGTTGGGTTTTAATTTTTAAAGGGATTTGTTTCTAATTCACTTATTGGCAACAGCGCCTATATCAAGTTGAAATAATTTATACATACCTAGATATTCTACTTTAAAAAAGGAAAATTATCTTCATAAATCAACAATTAAGGCAAAATATAAATTATAGTTCAATACCACCTCCACAAGCCACATGAACAACAGTTGTTTTGTTATTTATTTATATAGAGGAAGATAGGTTAGGTGCGCAAAATGTTTCGCCAAATGGTGAAATAGAAACGAATCCCTTTAAATGTTGAATGCATTATTTCATTCCTCTTTTTCAAGTATTTAAATAATTTTTTAAGGAAAAAGGTTGAAGTTTAAAATGCGTTGTTTTAGAGCTTTAATAAAAACTACTTGATCTTAGTCAGGAGGAACATTCCCCATTGAATACATTCGATTAAGTTAAGAAATATATCTATTTCTGTTCGAGACATTTTCAGAAGTGAATTTTATTATTTGTGTTTCAAGAACTTTATATAAATTACTTTCTGAAATGTTATTGATTGGACAGTTCGATGGTATATATTACATAGTAATATGAACTTTTTCGATTGAACTTTTCTCTTTGTCCTTTATTACACCTCAACAGATTCTACGCTTATTCGACTCAATATTATAGATTGTCTAAGAAACACTCAGATAAGCAGCAAAAAACATTGAATCCTCTTCAATAACAAACAGTCTTTGAAAGAAACTCGCTCGACTTTCAGGATTTTAGGCTAATTGTAAGATATTTTGAAGCTGTTTGATTGAAAACATGTTATCCCCTTCCTAATACTCCGAATCAGTTGAAATAAACTCAGTGACCTTTGAAAAACATATGTATGTATAACTTTTGTAAATCTGCTCCTTGAACATGTTATTAATAGTAAGTATAAAAACTAATACACTTTATTGTATGATTTTCACTATAAGGTGTTCTACAAAAACCGTGATCTGTGTTTTGCTATACAATAGCTATCTCAAGCAGATTTTACACTTGAGAAAGCTATTGTATAGCGAAACACAGGTCACGGTTTCTGTAAAACCCTTTTAGCGAAAATCATACAATAAAGTATATCAGTCAGTTTTAATATGGATTTTCATCAAGTATCTGCCAGTTCTGTTCAATCATACTAAATATAGTAATGACCAATGACAAGTTGAATGGTATGACTGGTAATTCTAATGAAATAAAAGTGTAAGATCTCATCTATAAGATTTCTAATCTAACCAGCGGCTTCTAGCTTCTCTGCATTTTTGATGAAATAATTTCGATTGCTAGATTGGACAGGAAAATATAATTTTCTTACGTATCTCTTTGCAGGCTGGTTAACATTAAAATACATGGTTGAAAGCGAAAAAAAAAAATAACAGGCAAGTCACTTTCTACATTGAATGAAGCGCTCCAGCTATTATTCTGAATGTTCTCTTTACAAATGAATGACCCTTTGAACAGATGATTTTTTCATCATATTCACATCACGTAAAAGTAGGATAATTATAGTCAAAAGAAGTCGATGTGTGGTGACTCAAATCTTTTCAATTGACAAACCTACTATTGATAATTATTTGTACAGATGGTCAATATGCAATTACATACTTTATAGTTTTGAGAAGTGTGCATAACAAATAAACTAATACCACCTTCAATCACGTAAATTCTAAACTACTCACCCTTCGAAATCTTGGTTGGAATACTCAAAGCCTGGAAGAAAGAAGTCTTTTCGGGACCCAATCCAGTGTTCTGTGCTGGAATAACAACAGGCAGAGGTGCGATAGCTCCATTACGGGCTGGGGCCCTAACTTTGTTCTCGAGTAGCTTGTCACGGATCTCTACAAGGTCCGACCGGGTGAAGACAAACCCTACATTACCCTTGATGTGGGGTAAGATCTTCTCCAAAGCTGGGTTGCGATCTACGTGGCCTTTGATGGCTTTGCGCATCATGGTATTTTTCCCCATGAGGACCACTGCGCTGCCACGGAGCGAGATGCGGATTTGCTGCATTTGTTTAGAGCCGACATTGTCAGCGCCCACAATGAAACACTTGGGGTAGTCTTCCAAGAGTTGCTAGAAAAAACTAAATGTATCAATACTGAAAAAACAGATTTGAAAAAATTTCAATTGTGACAAATGTTTTCAGAATGATTCATCAACAGACGTCTTCCACATGCTAGTGGGTTCAGCTATTTCTAGCTCTAGCATGAGACGGAAGCCATTAGGAATAAAAATATTTCATCATGTCTACCAAGCAGCTGGACGACAGTTCATTATTTTCTATTAACTTAATAGGTACTTACAATAAGTTTGGTGAAATAATTGGATTTCCAGGTTGCCTTGTCCTCCCTACCCATCTTGAATTGTGGTTAGGGACTCGGTTTATCGAATTTAAGAACTGAAAAGATAAATAAATTTCAACATAACCTACACAAATAATTTTAAATTGAATTCTTAGAAAATAACACTTGGAACTAATATAAACTTCCATTTTGTATAGAAAATACTTATTAATAAAGAATGAATATGATGTTCAATGAAGATGGATGTGGATTCTCCATTATCAAAATAGAAATCGACTTACCTCGGCAAAAAATACAAGCGCAATGAAAGACTATAGGAGAGCGAAGACAGAGGAAAAGTTTTCGATCCTCTTCTTTTTTTTCTTCAATTGGCCTCAGAGGTTAGAGTATTCAGACTATAATGTCTCTTGCAGTGCTGCCAATATCAAAAAGGCTGGATCCCAAGATGATTTTTCAGTATCCTTAGATTATACTCTTTCAAACATTTTGAAAATCCTCACAAAATTGTCAACCGTCAAGAATAGTGAGGTTAAGTCTCGGCCAATTTCAAATGTATGTTAATTCATAATATCTCATTACTTTTTCATAGTGTACAACAGAAATATTCAAATACGGATTTTATGTAGATACCTATTTAATACACATCGGTGACTATTGTTTGAGATAAAGCGGGTATCATTTCACCAAATTAATTGTTTTTCAAATTTGTTTCTCTCATTCATAATTGTAACTTTTTTAATCACTAAATGATTGTACATATCACTGATTATTGAAAAATAGCTCAGTCTGAGTTTGCCTTAGTTACTTCACATATAGAAGTAACTATTGGGCGAATCCTCATAGAATTACTCACTTGCAATCCACACACATTGAGAATTTACTCTCATATTGACAGCACATTATCCGTGCGTTCCACTAAACGCTCACAACGATCAAAATGCTACTTAAGTCGTTCCATAACGACCACGGACCACGGTCTTTGTAGTCGCGGCGAAAATGTCACTCATGACGTCATCACTTTCGCTCACGGCAAGCTCACAACGACCCATCTGAAGAGGTGGGTCAAAATTGATGTTGGAAATATTTCGGCGCAATTTTTCAAATGACATTTAAAACTTAAAGATGGCGACAAGGACTTTGAGAGTACATACATTTAGAATATAATCTAGTCGTGCAATTAGAAATGAAACTTTCAAAATCCAGTGTATGTATTATGTGATAGAGAATCATGTACCTGAAATGACTTTTAAATTCTTCATCTGAATAACGATGAAATACATTCCCATAATCAATAATACATGGCCTAAGTTTTGGTTTTCACGATTATAATTTTGTAAAGTTCCATTCCACTTGAACCATCTGAACTAGATGAACTTTTTCTGAAGCACTATTGCGACGCATCTATAAATCTCCGATTGCCGTATATATAATATATTTTGATTACATTTAATTTGTTAAAAATTTATTCTTCATTTTTAATATAAATGAAGTTAGCTTGCAATTATTGGAACTTATTGTTGAGGTGTACGTTATTTCATCGAAACTTCTACTTCATTCCTTTAACCTCGCCATTTGTAATGTTCACATGAACGCCCATAACATTGTGAGTACTTAGTGGAACGCACGGTAATTGGCGTGAAGTTATCCACATATTTCTGGCCACACATGCTGACGTAGTGGAAAATAAAAATCTATGGTTGGGATACGAAATTATTAGCACCCATACTAATATCTGTGGCTGGAAATACCTATTCACTATAGGTTGAACTGGGAATTATTAGGACTATTTGGTGTTTAATTTTTTTATAGAATCTTGACTAGATTGACGCGTTGATAATCGTTTTCTCATCAACAATACAGACTTAGGGAATAATAGAATTGGAAATATTAGACTTACTTTCCAATACCCCATATAGAAATGATATCCGATGATGTGCGTCCATCAAAATCACACAAATTCCATAGTTTCTTGAGTAGATTAACTTGGTTATAACAGTTTTCTTGTCATCTAAACAGATTTCGAAAAAGAAATTGTTGAAACAATCAGACTCATTTTTTGAGATTCCTTGTATTCATGAAAATCACACAAGTCTTATAGAATCTTGGGTAGATCACAGTGAAAACCGTTTTCTTGTCACCCATACAGATTTCGAGAATAAAATTGTTGAAACGATCAGACTAACTTTTTGAAACCTCTTGTAGAATTGAAACCAGATGATGTGCGTGCATAAAAATCGCACAAGTCTTATGGAATCTTGATAAGATTGACGTAGTGATAACAATTTTCTTGTCACCCGAACATATTTCGAAAACAAAAATGTTGAAACAATCAGACTCATTTTATGAGATTCCTTGTAGAATTGGTACCAGAAGATGTGCATTCATGAAAATCACACAACTCTCATAGAATCTTGAATAGATAAACACAGTGGAAACCGTTTTCTTGTCACCCATACAGATTTCGAGAATAAAATTGTTGAAACGATCAGACTAATCTTTTTGAAACCCCTTGTAGAATTGAAACCAGATGATGTGCGTGCATAAAAGTCGAACAAGTCTTATGGAATCTCAGGTAGATTTACGTAGTGATAACAATTTTTTTGTCACCCAAACAGATTTCTGAAACAAAAATGTTGAAACAATCAGATTCATTTTTTGAGATTCCTTGTAGAATTGGAATTAGAAGATGTGCGTTCATGAAAATCTCACAACTCTTATAGAATCTTGGGTAGATCGATATAGTGAAAACTGTTTTCTTGTCACCCATATAGATTTTGATACAAAAATGGTTGCAACAATCAGACTCATTTTGTGAGATTCCTTGTAGAATTGGAACGGGAAGATTTGCGTTCATGAAAATTACACAACTCTTATAGAATCTTGGGTAGATCGATATAGTGAAAACCGTTTTCTCGTCACCCATACAGATTTCCAGGAAAATATATTAGTAGATCGATATAGTGAAAACCGTTTTCTTGTCACCCATGCAGATTTCGAGAAAAAAATATTGAAATAATCAGACTAATTTTTTGAGATTCCTTGTAGAATTATAACCAGAAAATTTGCGTCAGTGAAAATTACACAACTGTTATAGAATATTGGGTAGACTGATATAGTGAAAACCATTTTCTTGTCACCCATACAGATTTCGAGAAAAAAATTGTTGCAACAATCAGACTCATTTTTTGAGATTCCTTGTAGAATTGGAACCAGACGATGTGCGTTCATAAAAATCAAACAACTCTTATAGAATCTTGGGTACATCAATATAACGAAACACGTTTTCTTGTCACCCATACAGATTTCGAGAAAAAATTTGTTGCAACAATCAGACTCACTTTTCAAAACACCTTGTAGTATTGGAAACAGAAGATGTGCGTTCATGAAAATTACACAACTCTTATAGAATCTCGGGTAGATCGATACAGCGAAAACTGTTTTTCTGGCAAGTTTATAAAAATTAGAACCTGAAGGGGTTTAAAAAAGTTAGTCTGATCGTGTCAACAATTTTATTCTCGAAATCTGTATGGGTGACAAGAAACAGTTTTCACTATATCGATCTTCCCAAGATTCTATAACAGTTATGTAATTTTCATGAACGCACATCTTCTGGTTCCAATTCTACAAGGAATCTCAAAAAATGAGTCTGATTGTTGCAACAATTTATTATCGAACTCTGTATGGGTGACAAGAAAACGGTTTCCATTATATCGATCTACTTAAGATTCTATGAGAGTTGTGTAATTTTCATGAAGGCACAGCTTCCGGTTCCAATTCTACAAGGAATCTCAAAAAATGAGTCTGATTGTCGCAACAATTTTTTATGGAGATCTGTATGGGTGACAAGAAAACAGTTTTCACTATATCGATCTACCCAAGATTCTATAACAGTTGTGTAATTTTCATGAACGCACATCTTCTGGTTGCAATTCTACAAGGAATCTCAAAAAATAAGTTTGATTGTTGCAACAATTTTTATATCGAGATCTGTATGGGTGACAAGTAACTTTCAGACACAAACTCGAGAAAAAGCCCTCTCGAAATAGCTATTTTCATATAAACATTGAAATACACGAAAGAAAAATCCTTTCGAAACAAATACTTTTATATGAACGCTGAGTTATACGAAAAACACTTTTCTCTGATCCGTTTGTATTCCAAACATTCGTCATGGAATCGAATTAGATATTATTCATAGGATCCCTACGCCATATAATTAATAAAAGATTAAGTTTCACTCACATGGAACACTGTCATCCTCACTGGTGAACATCCGATGTTTCGCCGTAAGACACTTGCCTTATTGGGTCTTCAGTACCAAATACGGATAACATTATAAAAAAAACACTCAATTCGTTCATAAAATTACGACTTTTTGTCACGGAATGAATTGAATCCACTCATATCATCTATGACAGTACGTAAATAACATTCATTCGCTTATTTGAATGAATCCCAGCAATAGGAATCTTATTCAATTCGAGAAGGTATAGTTTTGATTATATAGTTTAAGTAACGTTCATTTATTTTTTTCAGGTTACGATAGTTTTTCTTCACGAACTACCGTCCTGACATTTCAAAAATATATATTCATTGCTTTTTATTTTTATGTTTGATATAAATTATTTTTTCAACTGACTCATACGTTACAAAATATTCAACCACATTAGAAGAAACGAATGCAACATAACTTGACACATTTAGATTAGGTAAAATTGTGTTTCCAAATGGAAGTAAATTAACATTCATTGATACAAATTTGTAAAAGTGATGTGATGATTGGAAATGTCAATGTCTTTGGTTAGTTCAAATGAGGTTTAACAACTTCCATACAAAATTATTTCCACAGTAAAAACTAATGAATCAATTTCAAAATTTTATTAGTAACTTCAAGATCATAAAAGACCAGGGATTCTGACTTTCATTGTCTAAAAGGTGTTGAGAATTTCTATTCCATGAAAATAAAACTATATTTCATTATTTGTTTCTTTCTTTTCATAGATTTCAAATCTGTTAGCATATTTCTTGAGCAATGGTAGTTCGAAACACTGATATTGTCGATAACATACTGACATTTTTCATGACAGTGGAACTGATAGGTAGAATTGACACTTCTGACGTAAAATAAAACTAATAAAAATATGTTTACACACTAGAACTAGAACACATTGTCTCAATGCGTTTCATGAGGAAATGCTCTAGTTTTAGTGCAGGAAAATTATCAAATTTTTACATGTTTCTCGAATTCATACATATGCCTCATATAAAACATGAAAAATGTCAAATTCCCATTGATGTGAAAATATGAAAAGTATATATCTACGAATTTCGAAAAGTAGTGACTATTATTAGAAAGTATAAACAATGAGAAATTTGCGTATACACAAT